CTCTACCACTTGAGCCACAGTGCCACTTCTGGCTTTTTCTTTTTGCTTATGTGGTGCTGAGGAATCGAACCCAGGGCCTCATGCATGCAAGGCAAGCAGCACTCTGCCACTGAGCCACCTTCTCAGCCCCTCATCTCTATCTTGGGCCTAAAAAAAGAGTAAAGGAGAAGAAAAGAACAGTGAATGAGAACTTAAGATCCTGAGTTGAAGCCTCAATACTGACACAAAAGGAAAATAATACAATTTTTCCTTGTTTCTTTCATTGTACTATTCCTGTGCAGGTTCCAAATAAATTCCGCTATCCATTCTACTATGAGATGTGTTGGTACGTGTTGGAGCGCTATGTATACTGCATAACCAACCGCTCCCACCTAACTAAGGAATTTCAGAAAGAATCCCTCAGTATGGGTAAGTGTTCTGACTACATGCACTTTCAAGAAACCCTTATCCAAGCCAGGCGCTGGTGGCTCATGCCTATATTCCTAGCTACTGAGGAGGCTGAGATCACAGTTCAAAGCCAGTCTGGGCAGGAAAGTCCATGAGACTCTTATCTCCAATAAACCACCAGAAAACCGGAAGTGGTGCTGTGGCTCAAGTGGTAGAGCACTCACCTTGAGTGATCCTGAAGAGCTGAGGGACAGCGCCCAGGCCCAAAGTTCAAGTCCCACGTCCAACTTAAAAAAAACTTATCCAGGAATATTTAGGAGGTTGCTGCTTAGTAGTTATGTTTTGGGGTTTTACTTATCTACTTGAAGTACCAGTTTTATTCATTAGAATTGAATACTAGATACCCATCCAGGTATGATTACCAGGCTAAATGTGAAGTACTGTAGATCTGATCTTTATCTGGGTTGCTAGTACCTAGCTCCTCAAGAAAGCTAATAATTTTTTTGGAAGGCTTCCTGAGGCCTACACCTATAATCCTAACTACTCGGGGCTGAGATCTGAGAACCCCAGTTCAAAGCCAGCCTGGGCTAGAAAGTCCGTGAGACTCTGATCTCCAACTAACTACCAAAAAGCTAGAACTAGAGCTGTGGTTTAAGTGGTAGAGAGTTAGCATTGAGCAAAAAAGCTCAGGGACAGCGTCCATGCCCTGAGTTTAAGCATTAGGACTGGTACAAAAATAAAAGCCAGAAATAGAGTTGTATGTAGCTCAAGTGGTGATACAACACGTGCCAGCCTTAAACAAAAGAGCTCAGAGTTCAAGCCCCAGTACCGGTACATAGAAAGATGAAGGGAAGGGAAAATAAGAAAGCTAATAACCTCCTAATATGTTTTATTACATAAAAAATAGTCCTTGACACAATAAAAACTGAAAATGTGCCATCAAATTAACTTAACTCTCCCTGGTACTGTACTACAAAGTTTACATACATCAAATTCTCATCTATAAATCTCATTATGAGGTGTAGGTATAATTATCCTCAATTTACCAATGGCAACATTAAGATTCAAGGAGATTAAAAACTTGTCTGTACTGGGTACTAGCAGCTCACACCTGCAATTCTAGCTACTCAAGAGGCTGAGATCTGAGGGTCATGGTTCAAAGCCAGCCCAGGCAGGAATGTCTTTGAGACGCTTATCTCAGTTAACCACTAAAAGGCTAGAAGTAGAGCTCTGTCTCTGCCAGGCCTTGGGCAGAAAAGCTCCGGGGACAATGTGTAGGCCCTGAGTTCAAGCTCCAGGGCAAGCACACCAAAAAAGTCATTTTCTGACTTGCTAGGAATTTTATTGTTGTTGTATTATGTGTGTTGCTATTTCCAAGCATTGTACAAAACTACCTTTTTTTCCCCCCAATCCTGGGGCTTGAACTCAGAACCTGGGCACTGTTCCTGAACTTGTTTTGTTCAAGGCTAACACTGTACCACTTGAGCCACAGTGCTACTCCCAGCCTTTTCTGTTAATGTGGTGCTGAGGAATCAATCCCAGGGCATCATGCATGCTAGGCCCGTACTCTTCCACTAAGCCACACTCCCAGCCCCCAAACTACTTTTTTTTTTTTTTTGTAGGTTGTGGGGCGTAAACTCTGAGCCTGGGTGCTGTCCCTCAGCAATTCAGCTCAAGGCTAGCGCTCTACCACCTGAGCCACAGCACCACTTCCGGTTTTCTGGTGGTTTATTGGAGATAAGAGTCTCATGGACTTTCCTGCCCAAGCTGGCTTTGAATCATGATCCTCAGCTCTCAGCCTCCTGAGTAGCTAGGATGACAGGCGAAGCCACCTGCACCTGGCTTCAAACTACTTTTTAAAAGTATATGAACTTTATAGTCTACTCCTTTAGAATATATAAAATCATAATTCTCAATTTAAGCTTAAACGTATAATCAGGATAGCTATACTTCTATAAGTAACTTATTTCTAATAGGCAGTTCAAAGACTCTCTTTTAACCTAACCTACATTTTAAAAATGAATTGAAGCCAGGTGCTGCTTAGTCACACCTAAAATCCTAATTACTTGTTTAGGTGAAATCTAAAATATCAATGTCTGGAGCCTGCTGGGGCTGACAAACCCAGTTTATCTCTAGTTAACCAGCGAAAAGCTGGAAGTGACAGTGTTACTCAAGAAGTAGAGCACCAATTGTAAGGGGAAAAAACTGAACAAGAGCTTGAAGCCTAAAATTCAAGCCTTCCTATCACCACCACCACCACAAACACTGTCAGTTAAGCCAGTTGTACCTAGAAAAATCAAGAATTCAGGGCCAGCTAGACCAATGATTCACACCTGTAATCCTAGTTACTCAGGAGGCTGATATTTGAAGATCGCAGTTCTTTTTTGTTTTTTGTTGTTGTTGTTTTTCTTTTTTTTTTGGTCCCTCATGGGGCCTGAACTCTGGGCCTGGGTGCTGTCCCTCAGCTCTTTAGTTCAAGGCTAGTGCTCTACCACTTGAGCCACAGCGCCACTTCCCGCTTTTTCTGCTTATGTGGTGCTGAGGAATACAACCCAGGGCCTTATGCATGTGAGGTAAGCACTCTTACCACTGAGCCATCTTCCCAGCCCCAAGGATCGCAGTTCTAAGTCACCCTGGGCAAGAAGATCTGTGAGGGCTGGGAAGGTGGCTCAGTGGTAGAGCGCTTGCCTTGCATGCCTGAGGCCCTGGGTTCGATTCCCCAATACCACATAAACAAAAAGAAAAAAGCCGGAAGTGGTGCTGTAGCTCAAGGTGATAGAGTGCTAGCCTTGAGCTGAAGAGCTAAGGGACAGCGCCCAGGCCCAGAGTTCAGGCCCTACGACCGGACCCAAAAACAAAGAAAATGAACAGGATCCTATTTCTATTATTGTATGCATACATATTTCTATGTGTGTGTATGTATGTGTGTATGTGTGTACCTGTGTGTATGTGTATGCACTGGTCCTGGCGCTTGAACACAGGGACAAAGCACTGTCCCTCAGCATTTTTGCTCAAGGCTACCACTTGAGTTGCAGCTCTACTTTTGGCTTTTTTGATAGTTATTTGGAGATACAGGATTCATGTACTTTCTGCCTGGGCTGGCTTTGAACTATAATCCTTAGATCTCAGCCTCCTGAGTAGCTAGAATTACAGACATGAGCTACTAGCAAACAGTTTATTATTATATTTCTACTAAGAACCATGCTTGAGTTTCTATAATTGATAAATGGATTAAAATAAGGAGAATTTTTGTTTTGCTTTTCCAGTACTAGAGCTTGAACCTGGACTCACACTTGCTTGGCTTGCCTTCTTGGCTGGCAGTTTACCACCTCCACCATACCATGTGTATGTGGGGTGAAGGGGTTGTGCATGAGCATGTGTATGCACGTGTGTGTGCACTAGCTACTACCAATGCTGGGACTTGAACTCAGGGCTCCTTGCTCTTAGTTTTGGGGTGATTTTGTTTGTTTAAAGGCCAGCACTGTACCACTTGTGTCATAACTCCACTTCCAGCCTTTTGCTGGTGCTGGTTGCTCATACCTGTAATCCTAGCTACTCAGAAGGCCAAGATCTGAGGATCATGGTTCAAAGCCAGCCCAGGCAGGAATGTCCTTGAGACTCTTATCTCCAGTTAACCACCAGAAAACTGGAAGTGGCACTGTGGCTCACAAGGTAAAGTGCTAGCCTTGAGCTGAAGAGCTGAGGGACAGCACCTAGGCCCAGAGCTCAAGACGAACAACAACAATCTCATGAACTATTCTGCTGGTGTTGGCTTTGAACCATGATCCTGAGCTCTTAACCTCCTGATTAGGATTATAGACATGAGCCACCCACTGCCCAGTCAGCCCAGTTTTTGCTGGTTATTTTAGAGACAGTGTCGGATTTTTCTGTCCTTACTGGCTTCAGAGTGATCCTCTGGATCTCAGCGTCTTGAGTAGCTAGGATTATAGGTATGAGCCACCTATACCTGGCAGGAGAGACTGTGTTTTAGTATGTCAGCCTTGTCATTTGTATCCTCGAGGCTATTCTTTTGTTTTTTTGTTTTGTTTTGTTTGTCGGTTGTGGGGCTTGAACTCTGGGCCTAGACGCTATCCCTCAGCTCTTCAGTTCAAGGCTAGCGCTCTACCACTTGAGCCACAGCACTACTTCTGGTTTCCTGGTAGTTAATTGGAGATGAGTCTTATGGACTTTCCTGCCCAGGTTGGTTTTGAACGGTGATCCTCAGATCTCAGCCTCCTGAGTAGCTAGGATTACAGGCGTTAGCCATACATCCGGCCCTACAAGGCTATTATTATACTCCTTGTTTCTCTTATCACATAGCCAACTGGCATGCTCTTACTGCCTTTGTTTTACATTGGTAGATTTGGAGTTAAATGGATTGGAATCTGGAAATGGGGATGAGGAAGGAATGGACCGAGAATCCAGACGCTTGAACAGTAGGCGCTCTGTTCTCACTAGCCCTGTACCAAATGGAATCAACCTGGATTATGATGGACTAGGCAAAACCTGCCGAAGTCTTCCAAGTCTGAAGAAACCTTTGTCTGGAGACTCTTCCTCTGACTCAGGTCGGGGCTCCCACAATGGCCAAGTGTGGGATCACCAGTGTAGTCCCCGAAAGGACAGGCAAGTGCATCTGACCCATTTTGAGCTTGAAGGCCTTCGCTGCCTTGTAGATAAGTTGGAGTCTCTTCCATTGCACAAGAAGTGTGTCCCCACAGGAATAGAAGATGAAGATGCTCTCATTGCTGATGTGAAGGTAAGCTACTATTGACTTGGCTAGGGTAGTCGATTTCTGGATTTGGAGGGAGAATAGTCTTTGGTTTAACTACAGAGAAGTTAATTTGTGTATGTGCTTGCTAATGCTCAGTATTTTTATTCTTAGAGTAACATATGAAAATACTAAAATTTGTGTCTCTAATGAGGACTTAAGTTTTTTGTTTATTTGGTTTGGTTTTTTGGGGTTTTTTTTTTGCCAGTCCTGGACCTTGAACTCAGGGCCTGGGCACTGTCCCTAAGGTTCTTCTGCTCAAGACTATTACTCTACCACTTGAGCCACAGCGCCACTTCCAGCTTTTTCTGTTTATGTGGTACTGAGGGCTTCATGCATGCTAGGCAAGCACTCTACCGCTAAGCCACATTCCCAACCCAGGACTTAAGTTCTTTTGAAAAATAAAAAATAAGGCCAGGCTGCTGGTGGCTCACACCTGTAACCCTAGCTACTCAGGAGACTGAGATTTGAGGATCGCGATTCAAAGTCAGCCTCGGCAGGAACGTCCGTGAGACTCTTATGTCCAATTAACCACCAGAAAACTGTAAGTGGCCCTGTGCTCAAGTGGTAGAGCGTTTACCTTGAGCTGAAAAGCTCAGGGACAGCACCTAGGCTCAGAGTTCAAGTCCATGATAAAAATAAAAAATAGCCAGGCTACAGTGGCTCACGCCTGTAATCCTAGCTACTCAAGAGGCTGAGATCTGAGGACTGTAGCTCAAAGCCAGCCTGGGCAGGAAAGTCCGTGAAACTCTTTTATCTCCAGTTTACCACCAGAAAACCAGAAGTGGTGCTGTAGCTCAAGTGGTAGAGCGAATTGCTGAGGGACAGCACTCAGGCCCAGAGTTCAAGGCCCACAACTGACCAAAAAAGAAAAAGTTGTACAAAAACCCCCCCCCCCCCCGAGAGCATTGGAAGATCTAAAAATGTTATTTTTTGTTGTTGTTGTCGTTTTGGGTCCGGTCGTGGGGCCTGAACTCTGGGCCTGAGCGCTGTCCCTCAGCTCTTCAGCTCAAGGCTAGCGCTCTACCACTTGAGCCACAGCGCCACTTCTGGCTTTTTTCTTTTTGCTTATGTGGTGCTGAGGAATCGAACCCAGGGCCTCCTGCATGCAAGGCAAGCGTCCATGAGACTCTTATCTCCAGTTAACCACCAGAAAACCAAAATGGCACTGTGGCTCAAGTGTAGAGGCTAGTCTTGAACTGAAGAGCTCAGGGACAGCGGCGAGGCCTAGAGTTCAAGCCCCATGACCAACAAAACAAAAAAATAAAACACCATCAGCTGGGTGCCAGTGGCCTAGCTACTCAGGGGTCTGAGATCTGAGGATCATGGTTCAAAGCCAGCCCAGGCAAGAAAGTCCCTGAGAGTCTCATTTCCAGTTAATCACAGAAAAGGTCGGAAGTGATGCTCAAGTGGTACAGTGCCAGCCTTGAGCAAAAGGAACACCCAGGATGGGTGGACAGATAAAAATTGAAATCTTGGGCTGGGAATGTAGTGAGTGCTTGCCAAGCATGCATGAAGCCCTGGGTTCGATCTTTGATTTACTTGCTTTGTAATGAATCTATGGAGGAAATTGCAGATATGCCAGCCTGGTGTTCCCCTTGGTACTTGAGGGGATTGGGGTTGAGTCTGGATGTTGTTGAGAGGAATAGACTCTTTCACTGTCCTGCTTTTTCTTTCTCTTCTGTCCTACCCATAGATTTTGCTGGAGGAGCTTGCCAACAGTGACCCCAAGTTAGCCCTGACTGGAGTTCCTATAGTACAGTGGCCAAAAAGGGATAAGGTAAGAAATTCTTCTGCTTGATCTCCAGACTGTTTTGCCAGCTTATCATTACCATTCCCAGAACAAAAGGACAACTAGAGTACAAACTAACAGAAGATCATTACTCAGTTCCGTCCTGTCTCTTAAGTCAGAGCAACTGGCTATCTTTGGAGGTGACTTTCTTAACAGGACTATCACACTGGGAGGCAGACCTCCCTCCAAGTTCAGATGCCAAGTTGTGAATTGGCCGATCTAGTGAATCAGTTATCTTCACAGATAGGATTTACAACTCCTTACAATAAATATATAGTAGAGAGACCAGAGTGTTTTGTTGTCACCTTCTTCTTAAGATTCCACTTAATTGAGACTTTCCTGTGTGGAACTGAGAAGAGAAGAACTGTTTTCAGCTACTAAATTGTTGGTTATGAATTTTCTTGCCTACTTAGTTTATGTCATCTATACTATTTTACCATATTTTTCCATGTTGTCCTGATTGGTGCACTCAGTGGTACTTTTCTGAGTCTAACCATGCTTTTGGTAGATAAATTAGTCTTCTCTTTAATTTTAGTTTCCTAGTTGAAACTTGCAAAGCCATCTAATTCCAGGAGTGTTTTGAGGCAGAATGGAGTTGAATGATGTCTTTTAAAGAACCTCCTCCCCCTTCCCAGGTGTAGGAGTCCCACTTGGCCACGTGGGACTGCCTCAAAACAAGTCAGTCATTTTTGGCTGTTGAGTATTTTGTGTCAGAAAGTGTTAAGAAATGGTGGGAAATTAAAGAAGCAGAAGATATGGTCCTTGTCCTTGAAAAGGTCACTAGCAAGGTAAATACAAGTACTACATTATAATAAATATATCTGAGAGGTGTATTCTACATTAAAATGTTATTGGATATTTGCTGTATACCATCCAGGTCCTGTGCCGCAATTTGGAGTGATAAAGAAATGAAGAGACCAGTTTCACTGTCCAGTACTTTAGGAGTAGATTCTAAATAGCCAGTATAAGGAAATATTGGAGCACCAGCTCCTGGACTCTAACTTCAGTATCTGACATTACCCCCAGCAAGCTTCAGGGAGGGTCAGATCTTACAACTCTATAAAATGAAAAGGATATGGCAGACGTAGGTATGCCCATAGGCTAGGACAAGGACTGGCATATTTTTCTATGAAGGTTGCCTTGGTAAATATTCTAGGTTTGGGCTCTATACAGCCACAACTTCTCAGATCTACCATAGCATGGAAAGCAGCCTTAGACAATACATAAACAAATGAGCATGGCCATGTTCCAATAAAATTTATTTATGAATACAAGTAGTGATTTGCTCACAGGCCAGAGTTTGCTGAATCCTGGGCTAGGTGCACTACCATGTAATCTTCTATGCTCTCCAGTCTTAAAGCAACCTGATATGGTTGACCTCACTGCTTTCTTTTTCCAGCTTAAATTCCCCACTAGGCCAAAGGTGCGGGTTCCTACCATCCCCATCACTAAACCTCACACCATGAAGCCAGCTCCACGGTTAACACCTGTGAGACCTGCAGCTGCCTCTCCCATTGTGTCAGGAGCCAGGCGGAGAAGAGTGCGCTGTCGGAAATGCAAAGCCTGTGTGCAGGGGGAATGTGGGGTTTGCCACTACTGCAGGGACATGAAGAAGTTTGGGGGGCCTGGACGCATGAAGCAGTCCTGTGTCCTTCGACAGTGCTTAGCAGTAAGTAATATTCTGGGTAAAGACTTGCGGGGAGGGGGTGCCCTAGTACTGGGGGACTGGAATACAGTTGGGAGAGTACAATTGCAGAGTTAAGAAGGAGTTATGCTTTGGCTTTCTTCATTTTGTCCCCCTCTTTCTAAGTTCAGAAAGGTACCTTGTAGCGAAAATAATTAGCATTTTGGGCTTCCTCACCTAATTTTCAAACAAAAACCAGCATTTAAAGGGAAAGTCACTGCCTTCTGTACCCTCTTTTTTTTTTTTTTTGTCGGTCGTGGGGCTTGAACTCTGGGCCTGGGCGCTGTCCCTCAGCTCTTCAGCTCAAGGCGAGTGCTCTACCACTTGAGCTACAGC